AGAAATGATAATATACTATAGTATATATTATAATTATAATATGTTATATTATATTATATTTTATAATTATACTATATTTCTAGTGGTATAATATAATATTGTTGTAACATTATTATATAAATTAATCACAATATAGTTATTTTATTATATTATATATCATTTTATATGATATATTATAATTGTATTATAATAATAAATAATTATATAACTATAATTATAATTATATATATAATATTAGTTATTAATGATTATATTAATATATAAGATATTAGTTATATTAACATGAGGGGTAATTTTGTTAACGTGAAAATATTTATATTCCATTCCATTGTATTTGTAAAAGTAAAACAAAACAAATCAATCATCTTTCATTTTTATTCTATTCCATTATCATTCCCCATTGCAACCACAATTTTCAAATTCAAATTAAATTTCAAATTAGAATTACTTAAACTTAAATCTCAAGTCAAAATTTTAAAAATTCTTTTTTTCCTCATACGGTCATATACCGAGGAATTATTCAAATCCAAATATGAAATTACAATAAATTCCAAACTAAATTCAACATAGGAATTATCCAAACTCAAATCTTAAATCAAATTTCAAAAAGACCTTTTAATTACTCACATGGTCATATACCGATGAATTATCTAAATTTCAAGTCAAATTTTTAAAGTTGTTTTGATTCCTCAGACGGTCGTATGCCTAGGAATTATCTAGGAATTATCTGAATACAAATTCTAAATTTAAAATGAAATTATCCAAACACAAATTCAAATTTCAAATTCGAACTGTAAGTGGCTTGATCCCTTAATGGGGTATGTAGACAACTGGGCTAAATTAACCGAGTTCAACCGCAATTTTAAATCAATCCAAATTTTCTAAATTCACAAAAAAAAAAATAGAATTTACTGTTTTAATTGGAATCAAAAGGTTTTTCCATGTACTAAGGGATTGTAATTAAGAGGTTATTCTTTTCATTTTGAATGGATTGAACTAAAAATAATAAACTTCTATGCTAATTAAATCCTAATATAAATAAAATTATGTTGTGTGTGAAATATTATTTCAATGTTAATAAATATTTTTACTCAACACATTGAAAATCCATATTAGGATTAGGATAACTTGTTCTTCCTCTTCCTTCTCCTTACTTTGGAAGGCGTCTATAAATGGTGCAAAATACCATTTCTTGTATTCGCTTTTAGGACTATTAGTGCGTTTAGTGCATGAACTTTGAGCACAGTGGTTCATAAATTTTGACATATTACCCGTTGAACTCTCTTTTTTATTTTTTATTTTTTATTTTTGAAAATTTTGATCCTGGACATTAAAATTGACGGTGAATTTTCATAACTTAACAATATAACTTCTGAAAACTCTTAGCTCGACACGGAATTGATGAAACAATTAATATAAAGAAAGGAATAAAATGTAGAATAAGTAAATGAATGCAAGAGAATTTAGAGGTTCACCTGTAAATTGAGAGCTATATCCACTCTGGAGGTGTTTGGCCTTTTTATTGTGGAGGGAAAAAAAAAAATTACATGCTCTAATGTTTAATACTCAGGATGAGACTCATGGCTTTTCTAGAGCATTACTCCTAATATATAGCCCTCTTTAGAGATAAATACAATCTCTATATAATAAAAAATAGGAATTATCTATATTTCTTTTTGGGATTTATCCCGTTCTAATCTAGGGGAATTATCATTGAAATTAACCCTTAAAATGTGGGATTTAAACTCCAAGTGTAGCTTCCTCCGCAAGCTTCTATCTTCTGAATTGAATCTCCTCTTCGCGATCGCCTCACCCTCTAGTAAATTTTGAACCATCCAATTCCACTACTTACAAGAAATTATCATGAAAGGACATGCATGCTTTGTAGGATTGTCAATAGATATGAGTGCAATACTCTAGTGACATGTATGAAAACTCCAGAATATGTACCACAAGGGAAATTGTGTATGCACACAAACTCATATCCCCAACATACCGATAAGCATATATTTACATAATATCAGGATGTATTCCTTAGGTACATTAAAAGATACATGTCAAATATATTTATTTCACGATTAAGATGATCATATATAATTCATCAAAAATGAATTGTTTTATTCGGACGAAATTATTAAATAAACAAGTCGACTTTATTACGATCCAATATAGATTCTACCACTAGGAACTATATCAATGTCTCTACCCATGAAGTCCCACCTCCGACCACCATGACAAGCCTTAACATGAATAAAGTTGACCAGCTTTATTTCTTCAATTGTAGATCATGTTGTTTAGACTCTCATCTTTATATTCCTGTCTTCTACATGTTATTCTCATTACATGCACGATCTAAAAGCTTAGAATGACAGTCTTAGACTTCTAGTTTGTTTATTATACATTTAATTAATGTGAACATAAAGAGTACATTATAAAAAATAAATAAATCTTTATTAATAGTTAAAATTGTTAGAAATAGTGTCATTAAAGCACATACGTATATATCCTAGTTGACGTACCACCTGAAAAATCTGTAGTGGATTGTAAATGGGTTTACATGATCAAGACTTGTTTCTTCTCGTCTTGTTGTTAGAGGTTTCACACAAGAATATGGCATTGACTATAAGGAAACATTTGCCCCAGTAGCTTGTCTATTCACAGTTCGCACTCGCATTACTCTTTCTGTTATATGAGAGTGGAAACTTTTTCAGATTGAAGTCAAGAATGCTTTTCTGAAAGGTGATCTCGGCAAGTAAGTTTATATGCAACCTCCTCCTGGATATGCGACTCTCTACAGATAACTTGTTAGGAGTATTGTCTACCTCACTGTTACTTGTCCACATATCATATGCAGTTCATAAGTAAGCCAATTCATGGCTTCACCACGAACATGTCATTATGGTGTCGTTCTTCTTATTTTCGATATGGTAAAGGCACACGCTTCCATGGTCTTCGCTACTCTACACATTCATCATTTGATCTTCATGCTTACACTGATCTTCATGCTTCTTCTTAGGCAACTCTTTGATTTCTTGGATAAGTAATTAAGAGACAAGCAGTAGTTTCTTATTCCAGTACTAAAGTCGAATATTGTCCTCTTGTCGTTTCTACTTCTGAACTATTGTGGTTATGTCGGTTGCTTCACCAACCCTTTGTTTTCTTGACGATTTGATAACTCAATTCCCAAACTCAGGTTGACTTCTATGAACTTTGAGTTTCAGGGAGGGTGTTAACGTTGGGATTTCTATCCCTTATTGATCATTGGACATTCTCATCCCTTAATTATGGGATTGTGATAGTTGATTAATCTCTCTCCCATAATGAAGATCCTCTTATACTATTGATCATACACAATTCAGAGACATTCTAATTCTCAATTCTCTTTATTCTCTTCCTATGTTTTCAAAAACAAATAATTAACTACTGCAGAAAAAAATCTTAACAACTAACATAAATACTTTGAGTAATTGATATGTGATAAATATATTAGTGTTATGAGGAAATATTTGCCTCATTTTATTCTACTTTCATGCTTGAATGAACATACACAAGTCCCATGTAATATAGAAAATCTTATGGATAGTCCATTAATCAAGTCCCACAATTGAAAGATGTGTGTTCCAGTAGCTCGTCGATCTCCATTCTACGTCTCCCCAAGCGCGTGAAGCTATGTCAAAATTAATTATTGAAGATCAGAACATGGAGGCAAAAAACAAAAAAAAACAAAAAAAGTGCAAACATGTTAAACTAAAATTATCAATCTCTCCATCCTACACTCCACAAGAACTTGGAGATATTTTAAAATGATTGCTTGAACTTCAAGTCACACAATTCAAATAATCTCTCTTTAAAATCATTATTTAAAGTTCCCTTTTGAAAAAATACACTCTATTTATCCTTTTGAATTATCGTCACATGATTAATAACTTCAATTAAAAGAGCGATCAATAAACAAGCACTCATTAAAAGGGATCTTTCAGAACATTTTCTTAAACAGGGTAATAATATTCTCTTTACAATATTAATATAAAGGTATTGGGCAGTTATATTCGCACACCCCATTTAATTTTTAGCGTAACCCCTAAAGCTTTTTATTAAGAAAATAACTTCGAATAAACTGGCGAAAAGGACAATTTCATAGACATAATTACAAATTAATGATAGATTTTTTCTCTCTTAACATGCCCACACACTATATTCCCATATCATAAACTTCTGCTATTTTGAAATCTATAACAAAACCATAACTTTCACCTTTTAATGGCTATTTAAAAATTTTGATTGAAAAATATTAAATTTCCTTTGTTATTTTTCATAGAACAATTATTCTTTTACTTTTTTTTTCCATGTCGAGTTTATGTTTTTCACTAATTATAGTACTTCATTTTTAATTTGTTACCTTAATTATTATTCCAAACAGGACGCATTGTTAACGTTTCTTTATTATTTTTCATACTCTATATATATATGCGTGGTGCATGATTTATGGACGAATTTTTTTTATTTTGTCCTTTTTCTTATTTATTTATTTCTATTTTTCATACGTTAATTAATTACTTTTTGATTTGTGTATGAAGTGATAAAGAAGCATTAATCTTATGGAAATAGTTATGGATAATTTTAAAATAACATGGGTGTTTAAGTAAGTTTAATAATTTCATAAATTTATGAGGTGTGTATTTAATGAAGGTGTATGTAAATAGAGTCACCCAAAAGTATTTCATAAATAATAGTAATTTTGATCATTTTCTTTTGTATTATTCTCATGTAGAAAATCTCCACTATATATTATAACGCCAATGCCTTTAAAATGTGAAAATAACATATTTAATGTGTTATTTTCATTTATGCTTCAGGGCATAATACTTTTTTTATTTTGTCATAAATATTAAAATTTTAAAAATGTTAAAATAAACTTATAATTTTAAAGTAATACAAAATGCCAATGTTGTATTAATTAAAAAGGAAAAAAATCAACATATAAACCAATAAAAATCAAATGCCAAAAATTGAAATATGCAATAGTTTGTAGTAAATTTAGCACGCACGAAGTAAAACATATGCTAAATTTGGCACTAAGAATAATATGCATCAGAGAGTAATTTTTCTACCTAAATGCTCAAATGAAGAATAATAGATACACTTAATTATTAGTATTGCATTAGAGATGCTCTATTAACGGTGACATCATAATGTCATCGCTGAAGATTACCATAGTTTAGTGATCTACGACACAATGTCATCACTAGAATGTGTTAATCGCGCTGTGATGCAGGTGCACAACAACTAGTTTATATCTAAACATATATAAAAGAACTAAAAAAAAATTACTTCTCTTTTGACCAGATGTCAAAATCTCCTTTTTATTCTTTTATTTTATGCCAGTCTCACTTTTTTACTCTTTTATTTTTATTTCTTATTATTTAACTTTTTGTATTTCTAATTTTTCCTTTCTCTCATTCTTTTAATTAAAACAATTCCTTTTAAATATGTTCTTATTTAATTTTTTTGGATAAAAAACTCCCGAATAATTTTAATTCTTCTTTATTTGATTTTTAAAATTTTTCTTGCTCCAATTAGCTTCTAAGGAGATCACATATTTTAATATTAAATTAAATTTATAAAAAGTAACAACAACTTGGATCTGCATCATTGTTGGACCCGGACCCCAATAATTGTAGTACGTGGTTCAACTAGCAACTCAAATAAAAAGTAACAACAACTAATGTCATAATAGTTTAATGAGTTATAGATAAAAAGTAACAACTCAAATATCATCTTAGTCAGTAGAGTTTAATAATTAATCTTTTATTATGATAATGCCTATCTTTCTCTCTGTTTTTTTTTTTAATCCTATCTTGGATTAGTAATAAATAGACCCCAAAATGCAACTTGTGATGTTCGCATATTTAAAGTATAAATCAAAGGCCCTGTGCATACAATTATAAAGCCAGTAATCAATGCCAAGTTCTATTAGTGACGCATATGCGCTATTGTGTAAATTGCAAGTCTTTGGTACGATTTGTTTGTCGGTTTTGTGTGTTATTATGTATAATGTTTTATTTGAAGAGGGTGGAGATTTAGCCATAATAGGATTTGCTTTCTAGCAAATTAGTGAGGGATATATACGTGGCAATGGGTAAATGCAAGTATTTGGTCAATTTGTTCGTGGATTTTATGTTCCAATGGTATTTTATTATTTTACCCAAAAAAAATGCCAAATCAATGTGAATATCTAAACTAACCTTCTCGAGACAGGACCATATCGGCGTCGGCACCAATGTGCCAACCAAAGTAACCAAGCAATCCCTTGTCCTTAGCATAAGAAACCTTTCCTGAAATACTCTGCACATCATCATACCCAATCCACGTCGTCCCACCATAGCAATAGTCCGCCACAACCGCCCCATTAAACACCGCTTTCCCGTCATTCTGATGATCGGCTATGAACTCCCTGATTTCCGTGTAGCCCATTGCCGAATCTCCGGACAAAGCCGGTCCATTAGCCGGCGCGTAAAGTCCGTTCCTGTTTGCATCCACAAGACGCCAAGCATAGCCATAGAAAGGAAGCCCCAGAACAATCTTTTTCGCGGGAAAACCCTCCCCAATCCACGACGAAACCCCGGCATCGCCGCCGTATCTTTCCGTCGGATCTTTGTACAATGCAGCCGGTGGCTTCGTCAAACTCGGAGATGAAACTGATGCGGGAGTGTAGAAATCATAAGCCATTACGTTTATCCAATCCAAGCTTCTCGCAAGCGCCGGGACGACGTAGGGGACGGAGTAATAGTCCGGGGAGTAGAAGACCGCCGCGGCGAGGAGCAGCCGCGAGCGGCCGGTGTCGCTCGCCTCGTCGGCGACGGCCGTTCGCCACTCGTCGACGAGGTAGCCGAATTGGGTCATCTGCGTCTCGTCGGCCGGGTACTCCCAGTCGAGGTCGAGGCCATGGAAGTTGTTGTCCCTCGCCAGCCTTATCGACGACTGGATAAAAGCCTGGCGGCGGTTCCAGTCGCTCGCCATGGCGATGTAGTCGGCCTTGTTGGCACGGCCGCCGCCGATGGAGAGGAGGGTCTTTACGGAGGGGTTTTTACGTTTAACCGTTGAGGTGAAGGTGGCGAACTTTTGAGTAAGTTGAGGAGGAATGTAGACTTGGAAGGTTTCACTGTTGAGTTTGGCGAAAGAACAGTAGAGGACGGTGAAGAGAGAGGAGTCTATATCGTCGGCGGAGAACTCGAGCTCCGAATACCAATACGCGGCTTTCACCGTGGATTGGGATGCTGAGAAGCGGAGTTGTTGGAGGAATAAAAGGGAAAAGAAGAAGAGACTCTGCTTGGAAGCCATGGATGAAACGAGTTTTGCTTTTAGTTTCTTTTCTTTTTAATGCTTAGAAGCATTTATAGGCTTGAGGTTTATGTACAACTGTTGGGAGCGTGACTTTTCTCAATGTTTTCGGTAACCCACTAAACTACTCCACCGACTTGACTCTGGCTCACCAAATTTTGAGAAGCGTCTTTTAAAGAGGGAAAAAGGAGACGAATACGTAAGAGCCCGTTTAGTCAGAAGATTCGTTTAGTTAGAGAATTTATTCTTTAATTTAAATCATAATTTATAATTTATTATAATATTTTTTTTTATAAAAAATATACATAAAAAAAAATTTTAATTTTATAATTTTAATCCATAAATTAAACAAGCTCTGAATAATTTTGAGACGTTGTTGAAAAAATGTTTATCTAATTAAGACAGTTATGCTGTAAAAAGTTCCGAATGGAATGATTAGTACGTATGTGATGAGGGAGGATGTAGATGCCAACTTAATACGGACATATTTTTTAATTATTGACACTTATGGTCCTTAAATTATCTATTAAGTGATAATTTAGTTCTTATTCTTTGAATTTGGGTAAAATAAAAGGTGCGTTTAAAATTTATTTTAAAATAATTTTATTTTTTGTATAAAAATAAAAATAAAAATATTTTCAATCTCAGATAAAAATTATTTTTAAAAATATATTTAGTAGTTTTATTAAAAAATTATTTTTAGTATAAAAAAATTTATTAATATCTCTATCTCTTTCTCTTTGCTCGAGAATGAAAAAACGAAAATAAAAAATAAAAAATGACTAAAAATCATTTTTCATTTTTCTCTCATTTTACACTAAATTAAAAAATCCTTTTTATTTTTATTTTTTATCTTTATTGTGCCGAACGTCATTTTAAAAATATTTTCATTTTTTTTTAAAAACGTGAAAAATAAAAACGGAATTAATTCCAAACACGGCTGAAACCTTTTCCTTAAATTATGTTAATTTTTAAACGATTTCATCCACGTGTCCTTTAAATGTGTTTCCTTTTCAATGAAAAGACTAAATTACCCTGCTTAAAGACCTAAAAAAAATTAATCTTGATGCACTCAAAACCCAGTAGTCTTCGCCATTCTGCAGAACCAAAAAGAACAAGAAGAAATCGACAAGTGATTGCTGGTGATTGCATCTGGAAGTCTTCATCAGGAGTAAATATTAAAATAAGGTCCATCAAATACATGCTAGAAACAAGGGTTTGTTAATTTGCATTTTTTAAGTTATGATAACTTAAGTTCATATCTTGATTTGAGTTAAAATGTATTTGAATATGGTTTGAATTAAGACTCTAAATTGAGTTTGTGTTTAGATGTACACATTTTGAGTTATGGTTTGAATTGAGAATCTATTTGAATTTGTGTTTGGATAGGTCAAAACTTAAATTTACATTTGGATAGTATTTTAAAGAAAACTCAATGGTAATGGAAAATTTTAATAGGATATATGAGTGAGGTTTTATTTGTCTCTTCGTTGTAAACGCATAGAAAAAAAATCATCTCAATCGGAATTAAAACGAAAAAGTTATGACGTTTTTAAGAATAGAAAAAATAATGTTCATTTCACCAATTTGAGTTTAGAATTTGAGTTTTACTACAGTAAAAAGCTCTCAAAAACAGTCACATCTAACTTTTTTGCTACAGTAAAAAGCTCTCACATAAAGTCACATCCCAACTCGAATCAACGAACTAAACGGGTCCTAAGAGTTTGAGTTTAAGAATTTGAGTTGAATGGGTAACTTGAACTTAGATTTTAACTCCAAACTCGAGTTAAAACTCAAATTTAAATTCAAATTTTATAAAATAACATGAACTTAAATAAAATTATAACCTGAATTTAAACTTTTTTTTTAGTTTTGATGCAAATGAACGAGCCCAAAGTTTCAACACTCACGCAAGATTGTACCCTTTCAAAGTTATCTACAGAAACTATATTTTAAGCACTTTAAATCTAAAAATATCTACCTATTTATCTATCTATAAAACTATCTGCGAACACACATATAAAGATGCTTATATCCATATACAATGAAAAAAATAAAAATAAAAAAATAAAACATCACAATAAGAAAGTCTTCAAAATAAAATTATAATTTGATTTTGAACACAAAAATTAAATCAAACCTGAATATTACATTTAATGAAAGATTCTTATTTAAATAAAGATAAAGTTTTTTTTTAAAAATAAATGCATCATATAATTTTTAAAAATATATATATTAGAAAAATGCCTTCCATTTGAACACAAAATACAATTTTTTATTTAAAAAAAAAAAAAAACTAGAATCACCAACTCTATAAAACGACGTTCTTCCACAACCCCTTTACCATATATAAATGAATATGCATTTTCATTAAAATAATGATAATATCTCTATGAAAGAAAATAAAAAAGTTGTCAATAGCCTCTGGTGACTAATATGTTTGTGTGTGTGTTCCTCACGTTTCATCTTTTCACACGGCGCTCATGATTATTACGTTGTCAAATGTGAAGAAAAAAACTGAAAATAATTTTCTCTAGAGAGTACTGTTAAGCCAAAAACATATCACAATTACTCGGTGAAAATGTTGTAAGATTTGTCTGGTTTAAATGCAAAAGGTTGATTAGCAAAAAAAAAAAAAATGCAAAAGGTTGATTAGCAAAAAAAAAAGAAAATGCAAAAGGTTGTTTATTTGCATGATTGATGGACCCGGACCCCAATAATTGATTTCTCTTTTTTTCCCCTGTTAGGTACTTAATTCGGGTTTTTATTAATAAATTTTTTATTATTATTGTATCTTTTTTATCATTGACGTATTTGATTTCTGTTATTAGGGAAATAATTTTTTGTTTGAATTTTCTTTGGATCCTACTAATTGATTTATGTTAACGAGAGATTTTTCTTCTAAAAAAGATTACATGTTCTACCTTTTCAAATACTTAGGTCCCGTTCATTTCACCGATTCGAATTTAGAATTCGAGTTTTGCTACAGTAAAAAGTTCTCAGAATCAGTCACATCTAACTTTTTTACTACAGTAAAAAACTCTCACATAAAATCACATCTTAACTCGAATTAAAAACTCGAATCAGCGAACTGAACGGGCCCTTAACTTATTAAAAATATATATTTTTAAAATAATGACACTAATTTAAAAAGTAAAAATATATAGACTAATGTTAAAGAATAATAATAAAAAAACCTCCATTTTAAGAAATATTTTTAAAAATTGTCCTCTCTTCTATCACACATAACAACTATTGTTCGGGTAAATTTCAATAATAATACTCATAAATAAATTATTATTAATTTTAGCACCACTTTTGTGTACTTTCACAATTAGCATTACCATGTCAGTAAAAGTGAAATCATGTTGTTTTTACTGAAGTTAAAATGACAATTGTGCCCAATTGCATTTTTGAAGCCTTAAATATATTTTGAAACCTTATAAAATTCAGATATTCAAAGTAGAGAGAGGATGAGGGGAAAGAACACAGGTGTGCACAGAGACCAAAAAACCCCAAAGACCACCACTGTCTACCACCTTGAGCACAGACGAACCCACGATAGCGAGAACCCCCAACAGCGAGCACCCACGCAGCGAGAACCCACGAACCTAGAATCACGCGACGAAAACCCACGATCCTTCACCGGAGAAATCAACACCTAACCCATGAACCTTCGAACTAGGGAAACCTCACTCTCCTAACATTCTTTGCCAGAGAAATCAACCACGAAACATATGAGGTTAATGGCGGATTCTGAGACAAAGGTGAAAACTTTGTTGGCTTTTCTTGTTTATTTATTTATTTTTCTTAGGTATTTATTGTGTTTTTTTCTTATACCATTTTGTCATGTTAGAAGAAAAAAAAGGCTTTGGAGGAAGAGATAAAAGCAGATAAGGTCAGTTATTTTAAATTTTTTATTGTCATTATGCTCCTTATTTGGTTTGTGACTCTGCTTGATGGTCGGTCATATCATTATAACCGGTCGATAATTGTATTATGACCAGTCACAAGACAGGCACAACGTGTGGTCATAGTACTATGATCGTCGGTCATAATTCTATGACCGCCCATTAGGCATGTGGGCTCATAGTGTGACTGCCTGACTGATGAGCCTGCGGTCATATCATTATGACAGTCGGTGATAGTACTGTGACTGCACTATGTGACTGTCTTATAACCGACCATCAGTCATAAAACTATGGTGAGCCTCATGATGGGCAGTCTTATAATTATGACCGTCGGTCATAATACTATGACCACACAATGGTCAGACTCTTAGTGTGTCAGTCGTAGTACTTTGGTTAACAACTTTGTTTGCTTTTTTTTTTTGTATTTATTGTTTTTTTTTACCATTTTTGGTCATCTTATCAAATTGAGCCCTAACAAGGGCGATGTTATGAGAAGGATGGCTGGGCCGATGAAGAAGGTCAGGATTTCGGCTCTTCCTGAATACATTTCAGAAGCCCCCGCAACAAGAACATTGGTGGTATTCAGGGAGTGGCTTAAAAATGGCTTGCTTAAAAGAGTTGGTCCCAGGTAAGTCCATTATAGTGATCTTTGAGGTATTTCATTTCATTCATCTATATTGAATATGTGGCCGGTGATGTGATTGATTTTAGGAACTATCCTTCCCATTACACGAGCCGATTGGACAAGTGGGACGTCGGGTATAACATGGGCATAATGCGTGTAATGCAGAAGTCATGGTTCTACGAGTTCGTAACTATGGCAATATGGTTGTGGGATGATGTAAGTTACCTGACTCAGTTCAATTTGTAGTTGCTGATCATATTGAGTGTTGCTTATATTATGTATCTTGTTGTAATACACAACACATAGATGTTGCATTCTATTATTTGAGAAAGATGTGCAAGCACTACCCTGAAATTACATACAAACACTTCACCACTACCAACAATCTATTTGACTCCACAATCAGATATGCATGGCCATAGTTGAAGAAAGAAGAAGCCAAATATGACTGGACAAAGGTGCAAAATATTAGTAAGTACATATTTGGTGGTATGATTCGCTGCAGTTAGTCCTGGTTTGAGGTCGATATGGTATTAATTCCTATGAATATACCAAGAATGAAATATTGGATTCTTTTCGTCCTCGA